GGGCAGGGGGCGGGGGGCGGCGAGGCCCCGAGCCCAGGCCTGGTCGCGGCGCCCGGGTGGATAGGCTCCTCGGGACCCAGCCATCTCTTCGTTTGCCCTCGACCCCCCGCGGCTCCTGTGTCGTGGGCTCTGCCCTCCGGCACCTGCTCGTGGGGGATGGGCGCAGTGGGGGCCTGGCCTGCCGGGAACTTTGCGGGGGGTGGTTATTGATGGTTTCGGGTGGGCTGTGTGATTCTCGCCGTTGAGGTTTATTTGACACGCGCGCTCCGCGGCGGCGGTGAGCGGAGCCTAGCGACTTCCCTGCCTGACAATGCGTTTCCGGGGACCCCTGCGTGTCGCCTTGAAAGAGGGGCTGTGTGCCAGGGGGATGTGCCCGCAGCGCCCACTGTGGGTGTCCTGGCGTGTTCGGGGTTCCCTGTGGGCTGTGTCTGCGTGGATCTCTGACTGTGGGCCGAGTGTGCGGGTGAGTGTGTCTGAATGGGAGGTATACCTAAGTCGTGTGACACCGACCGTGTGTGCCTAGTCTCCTACCATGGAGCAGCCCGCCATCCCAGGAACCCCCACCATCCTGCCCTCCTTCCGGATCGAGGGTGCCCGAGGCCTCTGGGGCCCTTGGCTCCAGCATCGCCCCCTTTCCTTCATCCTAGTAGATCCCTCCCCGCGGCCAGGACTGCATGGCCCGCGCGGATCCGGCTCATGCCCGCTCTCCCCCGCGCAGGGCCGGTCAAGGAGTGCGAAGAGAACCAGTTCCGGTGCCGGAACGAGCGCTGCATCCCCTCCGTGTGGAGATGCGACGAGGACGACGACTGCTCGGACAACAGCGACGAGGACGACTGCCGTGAGTGGCCGGCCGGGAGGGAGGGAACGGTGGGGGGCGCCAGGCTCAGCGCGCACGTGGCTGCAGCCGCCGCCGGGCCAGATGCGTGGACCTCATCGCCGGAGCCCGCAGCCGGGAAGCCAGCTGGGCGCCGCCTCCCTCGGGGCTGAATGGCTCTTAGCGACACGGCGGGAGCTGGGCGGCCGGCGTGTCCTAATGGGGCCGGAGGCGGAGCGCGGGGCGGCGTGGCCCGGGAGAAGGGCGCGCCACGCCCGGCAGGCAGGGCCGGAACTGTGGGCGGGGACTCGGCGGTCCCTGCACGCGTCTAGCTTTCTGCGGTCGGGCCCTCCGGGACTCCTGCCTCGGCCCCACCGAACGCACGCCTGCTTCAAAGTTCCACGCAGCTCCGGGCCTCGCGGCACTCCTTTCCCTGCTCGGTCTGTGAATGAATGGGCTCCCCGGGGCCCCTGATTGGCTGGGCGAGGACCACCCCATAGGCCCCCGTGGCCGGAGCGGCCAATCGTGGAGCGGGCGTGCGTGCAGGTTTCCGGCACCCTGGGCGCAGGGGCCCCGCCCCGGCCACACCCCCGCGCGCATCCCCCGGGAAGTAGGTGCCGCCGAGGCCCGCTGCTTTTCTGCATAGTCACCGTGAAGACCTTTTTGTGCCACCCTGGTTAGCCGACCGCGCTCTCCTGCCCGCCCTGCTCGGGCATGAGTCATGGGGCAGACCAGGAAGGAGGGGGCCAGGAGGAAGAGTTTGTTTCCTGGAAGGGGCCCCGGGATCCCGAGGCCGCGCGTGAACCCCCGCCCGTGTGCGGGCCGCCTCGGCTGGGTGTGATGTTTGTACACGCGGGTGTGACCGCCTTGGGAGTTCTTTCTTGGGGTGCGCCGTCGCGGATGTCTGTGGGACAGGGTGCAGTTAATGGGCAGTTGTCGCCGTGGAAGGAGTGTAGTTCCAGGAACAGAAAAACAGGACGCAGGCAGTCATTCATTCCTGGTCCCTGAGCGCACGCTGTGTGCCGGGCGCTGGGGCACTTTGGGGAACAGCGCACCTGCAGGCCGGGGAGCACAGGGTCTACGGGGGGAGGGGGCAGACCCACAGCTCCACACAGTGCGGGGAGTGGGGCGGGTATCTGGACAGGCATTGTCTGTGGAGTCCTCGAGGTTTTTTTCTGGGTTTGCTAGTCAGCCTCCGGGTTCACTCTCTCAGACCCAACCGTGAGTGGGCTGTGACTTGGCCACATCCTTCCCTCCCGCCTCAGTCTCCTCACCTGATCGCTGGGCTAGTGATTCCTGCCCTGGTTTTGAGGACCAGTTCTAGTGAGGCGATTGGAAGTAATGACTGATGTGCTGACTGTCAGCTGTGTGCCAGGCCCTGTGGGGAGTGCTTGTCTTATATAAACCCTTCAGTCCTCAGAACGGTCCTGCTGTACAGACGAAACCAGCCGAGGCGCGGGAGATTAGGTCGCTTGCCCCGCAGCTGTGGAACTGCGAAGTAAGAGCTTGAATTCCAGCATCTGACTCCAGAGTTCTTAGCCTAATCGTGACCCTGACCGTTCCCCGGTGCTACTGGGGTTAGGAAAATGGCTGTGCCAGGGTGGAATATTAAAGCGACTCTCATCACTGGGAGTTGTTCTTCTGTGGTCCCCTCATAGAGTGGGTGCCGAGGATGAGGCAGGGAAATAGAAACTGTGCATTTCTGGGCCGGCCCCGTGGCTTAGCGGTTAAGTGCGCACGCTCTGTTACTGGCGGCCCGGGTTCGGATCCCGGGCGCGCACCGACGCACCGCTTCTCCGGCCATACTGAGGCGGCGTCCCACATACAGCAACTAGAGGGATGTGCAGCTATGACATACAGCTATCTACTGGGGCTTTGGGGGAAAAAAAAAAAAGGAGGAGGATTGGCAATGGAGATGTTAGCTCAGAGCCGGTCTTCCTCAGCAAAAAGAGGAGGATTAGCATGGAGTTAGCTCAGGGCTGATCTTCCTCACAAAAAAAAAAAAAAAAAGAAACTGCATTTCTGGGCTAGTTTTACCTTATCTCCCTGACTCTATATAACAGTCTTGTGAGGGGGACTGTGAGGAGCAGAAGTTTGTCTTGTCATCCTGTTTGTAGATGAGGACGCTGGCTCAGAGAAGTTGAGTGATTTGCCCAAGGTCACACAGCCAAGTGTCATAACTTGGTCAGGATGTCCGCCTGCCTCCTAGTTCAGGGGCACTGTTGGCTGCGGTGGGGAGTGGGGTGCAGAAGGACCCAGGGGGGTGATCCAGAGACTGGAAAGCCACACTCTGAATCTTGGGCCTGTGGCTTTTCATTTCCACGCGAGGCTCTGGGCAAGATGGAGGAGTGAAGTAGGGGGTGGCTGGGTGACCCCACATGGGACCAGGGAAGCCTGATGGTCAGTCTGGGCTCCTGCTTTGGGTCTGAGATGGAGGGGCGGAATCATAGGCGCAGAGTTAGTGAACAGAAGCAAATGAGGTTGCGGGCGTGGAGGGGAGGGGGCTTTGCTGTTGGTCCCGAGTATCGGTCCCACACGGCTTTACTTCCTGGGCCTGCTTCCTCACCCGCCACGTGGGGGTGGCTGCTCCTGCCCTGGGAAGTCTTCCCACAGGGCTGGCGAGGAGAAGGGAACAGGTGAGTGTTCCCCCCAACAAGGTCTTTTGAGAGGGACCCCTGGGAGCCACAAAGAGAAACCTTGAAGGAAGGGGGTGGGGGCTTCGGGCAGCTGTGTTGGGCCAGGTGTTCGAAAGTGGTCTTTCCTCACCCCTTCCTTCCCCATCTGGGGAGTTCCCCCCATCCTGGGCCGCCTTCTCAAACTGCATTTCTTCAAACTGTCCTCCGCTCGAGGCTGTTGGCTCCTCCCAGCCTTATATCTGACCCCCTCCTTTAGCACTCCAACCCTTCCACTCCGAGAGAGGGCCTGAGCCGCCCCACCTCTGTACCTCTCTGGGCCTGCAAAGTGGGGATTGCAGTTTGTAAGTGAAGTCTGTGTGAGGCAAAATGACTTCAAGCTTCCAAAGGGGCCAGAATGCTGCCGGTGAATACTGAGAGCCCATGGAGGTGGAGGGAGGGAGCTTGTATGTTGAGGAAGCCAAGGAAGGCTTCCTGGAGGAGGAGGCAGCTAAGCCAGGCCTTGAAAGAAATACCATTCCCTCAGGGCTTACCATTTAAAAATAGGTGGTACGGTCCCCATATTATAGAGGAGGAAACTGGGGTTCAGAGAGACTCCCCCAAAGTCCCACAGCTTTTCAGCGTTGGAGCTGGAACTCAAACTAAGACCTTCTAAATCCTAATCCTCATCCACAGCGAGTGGGACTTGGCCCTTTGGAGACACGAATAGAGCTGGCAGGATGGGGAAGGGAAAGGCTCCTGGGGCTTCAGTTCCCTGCTCAAAGGGCCTTCAAAGTGGAGGAAGGGGCTGGAAGCCAGAGGGCCAAGCCCAAGGAAGCCCAGGGGCGGCCCAGCCAGGGGAAGTGGGGTGGGATCCCTGGCTGTGGACCTGGGTCACGTAGGCCAGCTGGCCCCTTGGCCTCAGTTTCCTGTTGCTCCTTGGTGTCGGGGGCAGAGACGGGGGTTCCGGTCCCTGGCCAGCCCTTGGCTCCCAGGGCAATGACAGCACCAGTGGACACGTACTGAGCACTTGCTGTGGAGTGGGCGTTGTGCTGAGACCTTCCGTGCGTCACCTCGTGCTCCTCGCGTCTGTGAAATGGGGCGGCTGCAGGAAGTACCTGCATCACCCCCTCTTACAGAGGCGCAGAGGGGTTCAGGAACTGGGCCAACGGCATGTGGTTTTTAAGTGAAATTGCTGGGGTGTGAATGCAGGTGCCCGCTCTGGAACCTGCGCTGCCTCGAGCACTAGCTGGTGGCCTCGGGCAGGTCCTCCCAGGCCTGTGTTTCCCCGTCTGGAGATGACATCCCGCCCCGGCTCTGGGAGGCTCTGTACTTCTCTTTGTGGATGGGCTGGGTGGACAGGTGGACCGGTTTTGTGCTCAGATGCCTCTACCTTGTTCAGGCTTCTTTCGGCTGCCCTCGTTCCCCCGGCCCCGTCGCCCTGCCTCCCAAGTCTGATAAAGAGTGGCCACGGCGAGTTCTGCCGTGGCTGAGAGCTCATTAGCTGGGCAAGGCCAGGCTGCAGGAGTGCTGAGGCCTGCTGGGAGGCAGCCGTGTAAATAATGAAAGCTCGGCCGCAGCTCCCAGCTGGAGTGCTACCCGCTTCTGGCCTTCAGGGCGCCGCCTGGCCTTGGCCCCATTCTCACACCCCAGCCCCCGGGCCCAGCTGCATCTCCTTTCTTGGATGGAGTCATCAGACAGATAGTGCTTCTCCTCTCTGAACCTCAGTTTCTTCATCTACCCAGGCGACTCCACCATTCAGTCTTCCTGAGGCTCCCACATACCCATAGGTTAGAGTCAGCTTAGATGCCTCTGCATTTGGCCCTCTGTAACCAGCTGTTGCCTACTCCCCTCCAGCCTCTTCCTGCCTCTTTCTATGAGCGTGTGACACCAAACTGTAGCTTCCCTCACACTCTGGCCCTGCTACTGCTTCTCACCTCCAGGTATTTGCAAGTGTCATTCTGTCTGCCTGGAATACCCTTTCTGCTCTCTCACCTGGCTACCTTCTTTTTATCTTAGAAGATTCAGCTCAGGTGTCACCTCCTCCAGGAAGCCCTCCCTGCTACCATCTCTGCCCAAGGCTGAGATACAAGAGTCGAGAGAGGGGACTTAGGGACCTATGTTGAAATCACAACTCAATGGGGCCCTGAATCAGACATACCTGGTTTTCTATCGCAGCTGTCACCTCTGGCTGAATGGCCTTGGGAGTGATAACAGTTTCTCCCTCCTAGAGATGTGAGGATTAAATGAGGTGATGGGCCTGGTAAGCAGTGGGTGTTCAGTGGATGGCAGTAGGTCTGATCGTTGTTGGAGGGAGGAGGTTCCAGGTGCTAGGTCCCTGACTGTGAGACCCCCTGCTTCCCCTGCCCCCATTTGTTAGTCAGATGTCTGAAGGCTCCTGCAGTGGCGGGT